CTGTTATTCACTTTAACATTTGTATGGCATTCCTTTACCTATTGAAGTCAAGATGTTTCTTCTCAAGATTTTTCGTAGCTGCATTTGCTTAGGAGTGCTGTTCTCATGGTGTTCATTGTGCTGCTGCATCATTCTTCTAAGTGACTTCACCATTCTTTCAGAGTATTACTATTTTAATCTTTTTAAACATAGGTGGGAATAATTGGCAATGATGTAATTTCAGAATGATGAAATAGCCATAATATATCTTAGATTTATAAAAAGATATAGTGGACTTAACACAGTTATTGAAAGATAAAAATGAGTTTAGTGTATTTTAAGAATACATTTTTCTTCTTGTTCTTTGAAAACATAAAAAAAGGCATGACGTAACAGTCTATAAATAATTTCAACTGTTCAAAAAAGATCTACAAAAGTAAAATTGAGTCTTAATGGACCCTGATAGTTATACACTATGCAAAAGTGAGTTACAATGCCATATACAGTAGTGTTTTATACAGTCTCATTTATAATAGTTTCCACATAGCTGTGTGGTCACTTTGGTACTGTTTTTAAACTTGCAGTTGGTTTAAATATGGCCCTGCTAATGAGAAAACTGAGTTGGCAAAGGGTTTCTAGATAGATAGATATTAATCATGGCCAGCTTTTTTTCAGTTACATTCAGACATGGATTGGTATACCCAGCTAATGGCCCCATGGAGGGCAAGTGTGTGTTACATAATAAAGACAAGCCTCCCCTCTGTGCTTCTGGACAGTCCAGGCTGACAGTGATGAGCACTTCCATATAGGTCAACTAGATAAATATAGAACAGCCACTTCGAAGCCTGTTGCCAGGGGCTCAATAGAATCAGCTCTGTTTCTGCGGGAAAGACTGCAAGTGGTAGAAACCGACTAGAAGAGGCTTGTGCTGTGAAACTTAAATCCTTTGGTAAACTGCTAATTGATAATTCAGCTATATTAACCTGTGGACATTAATCTCAATATTCTTCCTTACCTGATTCATATCTTATTGCAATAAGAACATGCCTTTCTTTAAGTAACACACCTGTAAAAATTGATGTTACTGTACTGACCAGGTGGAGGGGACTGATGACAGGTCATAAGATTAGAAAGGTTCTGAAAAGGTCAGAATCGTATTGAATTATGTTTAGACCAGATTGCCTCTGTGATCATTTAATCAAACGGTGTTCTTACTGCCTTTGGCATCCCTCTTCATCTAGGTAACATTTGGGGATGGACTAAGAAGGAAGTTATAATTCTAGTACAACACGGAATATGCTGGCAGCAAAATGCAAACATTACAGCTACGTTTTTCTTGATATTAGGTAGACAACCTTGCACATACATTTTCTTTAATGTAAAATCCACCAGGAATGGTTGGTTGTACACACCTTTAATCCCAGCACTTGGAAGGCAGAGACAGGTGGATCTCTATGAGTTTAAAGCCAATGAGAACCTGTCAAAACAAACAAACAAAAAAACAGAAATAAAAATCCCACCATTTTTTAGTCACAAGCAAGAGTATCCTAGTTTTGCACCGAACTAATTATACCGTCTACATAGAAATGCTTTGGTACAGCTAAGCTTGAAGTTCCTGTTTCTCTATGTGTAATAAATGATTTTTGTTTTTAAGAAATAAGCTGTCATTTATCATTAGACATCTATTCAGTATACGTAGTGACACTGAGAGATGAATTTTTTTCAAACTTCAGTTTAGTTTTCAAAATATTTGTGGAGAACCGTTTTAAGTGAATACCTAGGGGGAAAATATCTACATTTCAAAAACCTTGATGAACATGAGTATCATCTCATAAAAAATTGCATTAAAGAATGAATGCAAATATAAGTAATAGGATGTATTATAATACTTTTTTTTTTGTCTTTTTGAGAGACAGGGTCTCCCTGTAGCCCCAGCTGTCCTGGATTCACTATGGAGACCAGGCTGGCCTCGAACTCACAGAGATCTGCCTGCCTCTGCCTCCCAAGTGCTGGGATTAAAGGCGTACACCACCACATTTTATCTGCTTTATGTTATTAGTATACAGTAAGTTTTACTTTTTTCTCTTCTAGTTTATAGTTTTATAAATTTTATTATGTTGTAGATTTATGGAAGCACCACTAAAATCAGAATACATTAGTATTTCCTAAACTTATTTACAGATTTAATCCAATTTTAATCAATGCATGGATTTCATTCCCTCCCTCCCTTTCTTCTGTTTCTTTCTTTATATCTTCCTTTTGTGTATATGTATGCATGTGTATGCACATGTGTGTGCATGGAGACCAGAAGTCAGTGTTGGTGATTTCCTCTGTTGCTCTGTACCTTGTTTTCTGAGATAGTCTCTCACTGAACCTACAGTTGTCATTTGGTTAGACTGGCTGACCAGCAAGCCCCTGGTATCTACCTGTCCCTGTGTCCTTAGAGCTGGGGTTACAGGTGCACACCACTATGCCTGGTGCTGGGGATCTGAACTCAGGTCCTTGTACAGCAAGCACTCTACCAACTAAGTCATCTTCCCAGCCCTAACCTACCCTTCCTCTCTCTCTCTCTCTCTCTCTCTCTCTCTCTCTCTCTCTCTCTCTTCCTTGCCTCCCCTCCTCTCTCCTCCCCTCCCCTCCCCTCAGTCTCACAGAGATCCCCCTGCCTTCTGCCTCCTGAGTGCTGGGATTAAAGGTGAGACCATGCCTGGCTCAAAAAGTTTTGAGAAAGAATAGTTTTGAAAAACAACAGTATGTGGTGAGGAAGAGCTTGCCTAACCTATTACTATAAATTTAGGAAGATAATAACATATTTGAGTTCAAGAAACAAAATAGTTGAACTGGTAATAATCTAACATGCCTAAAATCCAAAGCCTAGAAGAGATAGTGTCTCAATCCCTGAAGGAAGGAAGGATTTACTTAATGAACAGTACTGATTATTTGGAGAACTGGTTGGATTCTTACCTCACTTTTACAATACATATACAAAGATCCCCAGTAGCTAAAAATTAACATGTAATATTAAAAATTTGAAGAGAAGAAAATATAGGTGACTATCAGTGCCTGTAATAGGGAAGGATTTTAAGGATAAAAGTAACACAAACGTCTTAAAAGCAAAAACTGATACTACTGGCTGATTTAAACAGTAAAATAAGCAGAATATACCTTGTACTTATCAAAATGAATGCTACAAGTAATAGTAAGACAGATGGTGAACTGGAATGCAATATTTACAAAATCTATTAGTAGCTTTAATTAGAAAGCATTTTATAAATTAATAATGAAGGAGACAGAAAAATGTATAGAAGAGAGACTAAACACAAATGAAAGCCATAGAAAAATAGTATTGTTCACTATCAAGTTGAGAATTACTTTTTAAATGTTTTTGATATTCCTTATTTGTGAGTCTGTGTCAAAATAGGCACAGTCATGTATTGTGAAATTCTGAACTGATTTTTAAAAAAAATCACCTTTCTGAAGGGCTGAGAGTGAATGCTTGCCTCGTGTACACAACACCCTAGATTTGATCCCTGGCACTACAAAGCAACAACAAAATTTTCTAGAAAAGTGTTTGAGATCTTATGATCTTTAAAATGTTCACTGTACCTTTTAACTTAATAATTGTGTTTAGGAAGTAATTATGAAAAATGTTCATTGTAGCAACATATATAATTAGAAATAATTAAATACATAGCATAAAGGAACTAATATAGAGCAGGGGGTGTTGAACTATAAAACCAGTCATGATGTGATATTAGCGAGCTCCTAGAAATCATACTGTTGTTTTGGAAAAGGATTTAAGATAATAACTAGATTGGAAAAACAAGAAGGCTAAGAGTATTACATACCTCTCCTTTGGCTAATTGACTTTTGGGTAATTACAATCTCTTTATGTTTCACATATTTTCCCCAAATGTTCTATAATCATGTATTTTGCAATTAGAAACAAAAATAACCACTTGAAATTGTTTTCAAATAATAATAAATGTTCAAGAGAATACAAGATATGGTGAGTTTCCTTTTTTAAAAAAGTTAAAATTAAAGTGTAGAAATAAATCTGTAGAGGACCAGCAGGATGGCTCAGCCGATAAAGGAGCGTTCCACCAAGCCTGACGACCTGAGTTCAGTCCCTGGGACTCACATGGTGGAAGGAGAGAACCAAGTCCTACAAGTTCTCCTTTGACTTCCACATGTGTACCATACATACACCAAATAAATTAATTAATAAATAATAAATGTAGATTTTAAGAAAAAATATCTAGAATATTAATAGCGTTTATCTTTAGGTGATAAAGGTACTTTTTAGCTTCATTTTTCATTGTTTTACAACTTTTGCAAAGTTAACACATTTTCTTCTTTTATAATATGGAAAAATATACCTTTTAATTTTATTATCATTGATGTATGTGTGCATGTGTGTAGGTGTATGCGTGTGCTCACTTGTGATCAGGGGACAGCTCTCAGGAGTTGACTCCCTCCTTCCATCAAGGGTTCTAGGGATCTAATCCAAGTCATCAGGCTTGTGCAGCAAGTGTTTTTACCTATGGAGCCATCTCATGACCCTAAACTGCTTAAAAAGAAACTATGTATATGTATATATGTATTTATTTGTGTGTGCATACCATAGCGTGTATGCGGAAGTCAGAAGACAACTTACATGGAAGTCACTTCTTTCTTTCCACCATGTGGCTCCCATTATTGAACTCAGGTCATTGTGTTTAGTGGCAAATGCCTTTACCTGCTGAGCCATTTCAGCATCCCCCTAAACCCCTTATTTTAAAGTTTATGTCCAAGATTAATGAATTCTAACCATATTTAATTCTGAATCTCACTATGCTCATCATTTAATTTGTATTATATAATTTTATATTTAGTTTATGTTAATTCTCTGTACATCTTTATTTTTCTTTTCTGTGTTAAAAAGAAAGTAAAAGAACTGTGATTGACAAAAATGAGTTACATATTTCAAAATAGCTAGTAGAGGGAAAAATCAGTTAATCATATCCCCAAATGAAGAAATATTCAATGTTTGAAGTGATGGACATGGTATCACCCTCATCTGGGCATTGCACATTGTATACATGTATCAAAATGTTACTGTACCCCATAGTAACTGTGCAGTTACTGTGTGTCAATTGAAATTTTTAAGTAACAAGTTTCTAGAGTTCTCTTTCCCCTTTGGTTCCTCATAGGAATCTTAATTATTGAATATAAAGTGTTTGGAGGCTCATGTTAATTTAACCTAAAGAGCTATTAGCTATTTTACAATTCAATACCTTTGTCAGGGCAACAACCATGATTTAAATTATGATCATCTGTATTTGAAAAAAGTGGAGCAAAATCAACCTGTTGAAAGCTTTGTTTTTGTTTTTCTTGATGAGTTTATTTCATACTTTCAAATTGTGACCTTTAACATAATTTCCTTCCTTAATAGCTCGGTGCTAACAGTGGCTTGCACATCATCATCTTTGATGAAATCGATGCCATCTGTAAGCAGAGAGGGAGCATGGCTGGTAGCACCGGAGTCCATGACACTGTTGTCAACCAGCTGCTGTCCAAAATTGACGGCGTAGAGCAGCTCAACAACATCCTCGTCATTGGTATGTTCGGTTTGCTTTCCGAAGTTCTGCCACAAGCATTCGACACACTAAGGTCTGCATAGGTTGTGCATCTCCTTTACCATTGTCTCCAACTTAGAATTAAGTGAAACCGAAGAATTTGACTGTTTTATTCTGGGCTTAATAAGAAAATAGAGGATGGGTTTTCATGATGCATAGACTGAAACTTATAGCTCACCCACAGATGAGCTTCAGTGCCTGTGTTAGCACTGTTGTCTGTTCTAAGCTGCTTCTTAAGATGATTTTTGCAAGGAAAAAAAAAGGTACTGTTTTATGGAAATTGAAACTGCTGCCCACAAAAGAGGGAAGAGGCTTTTGGAGCTAGACAGATTGTGTTCACATTGTCCCTCCCTCCTTTTAACAAGTTACTGACCTTCTCTGAACCTTAAGTTTGTTTGTAAAAATTTTTTTGTGTGTGTATGTGTGTGTGTTTTTGAGACAGGGTTTCCCTGTAGCCCCAGCTGTCCTGGAACTCACTATGTAGACCAGGCTGGCCTCAAACTCACAGAGATCCACCTGCCTCTGCCTCCCGAGTGCTGGGATTAAAGGCATGTGCCACCACACCCGGCTGTAAAAATTTTTTATTTATTAATTTTTGTTTTATGTGTATGAGTGTGTTACCTGCATGTATGTAAGTGCACCTGTGTCGTGCAGTACCTGCAGAGGTAAGAAGAGGGTGTCAGATTTCCCTGGAACTGGGCTTACAGGTGGTTGTCAGCTGCCATGTGGGTGCTGAGAATCAAATCCAGGTCCTTGCAATAGCAGCCAGTGCTCTTAATAGCTGCGCCATCTCTCCAGCCCCAAGTTTGTTTTGTAAATAGTTGAAGTTTCATTACAAAGTCTCCCAGTATTTTCTTAGGATAGATCAAGAACAAATGCTGTCTTTATTTTAGTGTTATTTGGTTTTGTGTTTGACTTTTACAAAATGTCCTGTTAGGAAAGTTACTATTTTTTTTTTAATTATTTAATAACCACATGATTAGAAGCATTTCATTACAGCATTAACATATTCAATAACAAAGCAAAGACGCTTCTCTTTCAATATTGGCTCTAAATTTTTAGGTTCACATTTGAACTAATACAGTTATACATTATTGTACTCGGTATAAACCTTATAAGACATAAAATTGAATGAGGCTTTAAACTTTAAAAAAGATCTCCATTTCATTTTAGAATATATTGTTCCTTGCAGAAAGACTCATTGTTTTTGCTACTAACACTGAGATGTTGGCGCATGCATCTCTAATCTGTATGCATCTGATTATTATTAGTTCTAATCGGTTGCACTTGGATTCTT